AAGGAAGCAAATACGCACAACTTCCTTATTTCCTAATGCTTCCCAAGACTTTAAAAAAATTAATATTTAACACTTATATAACCTTTGCTCTTTGTGTGTCACATAAACAAGGTAAGATCTATTACTTACTTGTAAATCAATATATAAGAAACTCCAAGGAGCATGGTCTCTCCCGAGAAGCTTAGTCATTCTGCTAGTTAAGAAATTCCCCAACTTTTATGAAAACAAAAGGTTCAATTCTATGTCCGGGACAGCCTGTTACCAGAGTAAAATGAAACCAATCCACACACTCCTTCCCCATAACTTTAAGAAGCATTTTAATACTACCCTCTCATATATGCCCAACTTCCATGTTTCAAATATCACATATATACATATAGAAATCATTGTAACTTTTGGGGAGTTACTGTAATTAATAAACAATCATCACTTCCTTAACCACTGTTTACAATCATCCTCATTCCACAAACTGTACATAATACCTAATATTAATTCACCTTCATTACATGGCCTATAAATCCTAGATAAGGGATCTTCCTTAAGCAAGTGATAGTTATTCACATGGTTCAAATGTATTTCCTGTTAAGGTTCAAAACAATTATCGTAAAATAATCTGATCAATGAAACCAGTTCTGGGACATTTTTCACCTTTGCAACGTAATTATCTACAATTCATTTTAATACTATCCTTCTACATGTCCCTAAATCTCTCTAATTTCCTCACCTCAAATGAGATTTCCTTAACTAAAATTATTCCAAATCTCAGTTCCTCCATGCATGCTACATGTTCAGCTCATGTTATCCTTTCTAATTTAGTCACCCAAAAATATCAGATTATTAGTACACCACTCCCCAGATATAACGCCGTCGTTTATACAGCAGATTCGAATATACCGCGTGTCTTACTGCCTGACACTGCTGTTGGAAAAAATTCTGAGAAAAATATTAAATTTGTAGGCATCGGTTATAGCACGGTTGTCTTATAATGCAGGTCAAAACCTGCCCCCTGAAACCCCGCAGTATAACCGGGGAGCGGTGTACCAATTATATAATAATTTTCACCAATATCAATTAATTTAATTTCTAACTGAATGCAGGCAAATATAACAAGCATCAATGGTAGTAACATACCGCATCTGTGTCATAAGTAGATGATGCAACACCCAACATGAATGCTTCTGCTAATGTAAACAAAAACAAGAAGATGAAGTTAATAGGTGACTTGCGTCGTACATCGCCACAGCAGGCCATCGTGATCATACATATGATCATTACAGCGAAAGCTCCCCACCAGATCCCTAGATGAGTTCTAACATACTGTTTTGTGGCATCATGGTATGTAAACCATGAAATGAACGCAACTGTAATCAATAGCTGCACCATTAGAATCCCATACACTTTCCTGAAACAACAATGAACATTAATCTTAACACCAGTGGTCAATCAATAAGAAAACAGTACAATGTAAAGTACGGTATTCCGCCACAAATATTCTTAGTGGACAGGTAGGCTTAAATCTGTTACTGTTAAACTTAAAATTATCTATCACTGTTGTATTACTTGCAATCACTAATATGCATTTAAAACTGCCAAATATGACTTTCAGAATAATTTATTTTGTATCTGTTTAATCTAATATTCTTCACCTATAACTTAACGACACCTTTCAGTATCAAACGGTTTTAGATGTACATCAATGACTGATACAAGTAGTCTTATCACTTAAGTTAGAAATACATTATTGAAATCTGTGACATACATAGAAATGACAAACAATAAATCAGTACAAATAAGAGACTAGAGGTATCACTATCCTAAGTATTCAAATTTTAAATAATAATGATCCAAAAGAAAAACACACACCATAACCTATTTCCCTAATTTACACTTTAATATTACCCTTCAATCTATATGGCCTTTCTCAAACAAAATTCTTTCAAACTTTCTGTTTAGCAGCATTACATTACCATCTAGTCAAATCACCTAACCTTCGAAACAATCCACTTTATTATACTGTTACCTTATAAACCCACGGCGAATGGTCTTGTCAGAGAATTCAAAGTTCTCAACCGATTCTGTAAGGGGCTCATCCCCACCATATGATGCTCCATACATGGCTTGTTGGTTTGGTGTGGTGCCGTATGGTTGTCCGGAGCCTACTGGAACCTGTCCGTACGGAGGAGCACTTGGCGGTGGCACTACAAAGCCTGGAGTGGTTGTATATGGAGGTGGGTAACTCTGATTTGTGTTTGCTGGGTAACCAGGCTGAACGGGATATCCTGACTGGGCTCCGTAGTAACCCTGCTGATCTGAAAGCACCACACGGAATTAATTCAGTTTCTATCACCTCCATATTATACTTTTCCTATGTTCCTCATCTACCATGCATCACTAATAACAGGGTAGAAATTATTAATTAACTACCCTTACAAGAAAGCAATGAAAGATGGCAAAGAGCAAAATTTCACTACAATGTATTGGCATATAAGAAAAATTAAGGAAAATCCTCACACTTTCTTAACCTTGGCATTCAATGAGGTAAACTACCAGTTTCACCTCCAGCTGCTCTACTTCCTAGAGAAAGAGGACCAGTACCAGTCACTAAGATGTGTGGACTCGAGGACAAATCTGGACATGGTCAGAATGTAAAGGTTCCTATCCGTGCAATGAATTAACCCCTGTAGCCAGTCATTTCATTAACTTTGAAACCATAACTTTTGAGATAAAACAGCACATAGCAACATTCAAGCTGCAAGCAGTTGTAAGGACTGCACTGATCCAAGTCACTTAGTCTTAGAAATACAAACAAGTTAAATACCATTTTGTGCATGCCTGCATATTTCTGTGACTTCTAACAGTAATACAGAACGTATAGTGGGCAGATCCACCACCAAGGAAGTAGTATCATCTTTCTGAAAAGCATTCAATTATGACAAAACTTAAAACAGTTTGAAATCCAAAGAAGAGATGCATTCAAAATTATTCTGAAGAACTCAGATTTCAAATAGTTACCTATGAAAAGACTAAACAAAAAAACAAAGAAATAATTTTGATTTGTTATAGTTATTACATACTGACAGATTTTTAGTCTCACAGGCCAGATCATTTTACTAACTTTAGCAAGTTACTGGTCCATGAAAATTATAGAATATCAGCCTTACTCATTGCACTGACCTATACTTCCCAATCTCAGTATTAATATTTAAAATAAAATGCATCAAAAAGAGAGTAAAAATTATTCTAAAATAATTCCTAAATTATTATGAACAGGCAACAATTTTCAAGGATCTATACAATAAGAGTAGAAAAGTGTAATCTATCAGAATACATACATGCATACTTTGCAAATTAAGAATTATCAATAAAAGATAATTGAGATACTTAAACAATTTGTTCCCAACTACACAAATCATATGGTGCTGATGTATTTTTTTTAAAGATAAATCAATACCGATAGTCACAAGGTATGTTAGGTGTGAATACTGGTCATATACTCATGGTGTCATGGGATCAATTCCCTGCCAAGGCTAAATAATTGTTTTTTCATTTACGCAGCCACCACATCGTTATTTTACGTAAAACAAATAACTATTTTTCCAGAGTTATGTATTTTCTGAAAATCCTTTACCACACTTCATTGTATGGCCCTACTGCAAGTGGCCATAATGTTTCCCCCACCCTACAAGTTTGTTTTCCCATCATGTCAGTATTACTAATTGTAAAAAAACTGTTAAGTGCCATATAAGGCTGTCCCCAACGTGAATACCAAATTTCATTCAAATCTGTCCAGCAGTTTTGAAGTTCAATCATGCAGACAGACAGATGGACAGACATACATGAGCAAAACTATATGCAACCATTTCATGCACAGTGCAAGCAATGCATAATACATGAAACTCTTAATGAGTGGTGGTGATACAATACACTAGAGCCACTCAGATAATTCTATGTGGAAGACCTTGAAAAAATAAGAGTTGTGCAGGTGGTCAAGAAATTACCCACCATTTACATAAACCAAGGTTCATAGCTGTGTATCCATAGCAACCAGCAACTGGTCTGCATCATGAGTATACAACATAAAACAATTGACAAATTGAGAACAATTTTTTTTAAAAAAAAGATAAAGCAAAAAAGGCCAAAATTAATTAAAAGACTACTTATGCAACTACTACCAGCTCAAACTAATTCATCCACAATTTAAAAAGTTCCATTCTAACTGAAGTACTTCCCACTACACTAAAATATTAACTTATTTTAAGCCAATAACTGTATTGATTATAATCAAATAACAGAATTCTAGTATTTTGAGTGCACAAAATATTTCCAAAATTATTTTACCTATTTTAAGTTAACTAACAGTTTTCAAAAACCAATACTCTTGGATTAATTAAAGTAAAAGAAGCAAAACTCAAAATTTTATTAAAATGAACATACAGTCTGGTTTGAAACTGAACAAAAAATGGCTGTATAAGGTACTTTATCCCCCATATATAATGCTAAGTTTAATATGCTTGTTGTAAATAAAAAGTAATGTAAGGAAAATATGATGAACCAGTCAGCAAAAGAGAGGAGGGCAGATACAAATGAGGCAATTTAAAAATTACTTTATCACATTCTGGGGTTATTTAAACAGATTTACAAAAAAGAAAGAAAAAAATATTGGCTAGGACTTGAGGAAAGAAAAACAAGGATGAAGACTCCAAAATCAGGATTAACCACTTACAAGACCTAATAACTATGAAGTCTGTAAACCAAGTGTGCAAGTGCCAACAAATTCGATATGGAAGTTTCACCTCCCATGTAGAACTAAATGCTACAGTGCAGTAGTGTAACAGTACTACTGACTAGACATCATATTGGCAGCATAGCCTGGTCTCCTATAAAAAAATTTTAGTACAGAATTTATTGCTTAGTACCCATGATTCATTACATGATATGAAGCCCTCATGACAGTGAAAATATTAATTGTAACCTCCTCGGCTGTGAGACCATGTGGTCTTCTAGGTGGTTACCAATGTAATGGAGGAACATATTATTTCCACTTTCAAGGTAGAACCCTGACACACTCCAGAAGAACACGACCAACAACATTTTCTTAGTTATTACAAACATATGATATTGTGAAGCTGCAATAATGTTATTCCACATTCTACGAAACCATCACCTTAACAAACAATTTCACTTGGAGGAAAGGAGGTACAGATCCTACTCATTCTTTACCTCAGCACTAGATGGGGACAAGTGATCAGCATCATGCTCTGGCTGCATTTTACCCCTCAGTACCTAATGGATAGGAAGCTATAGGAAATATTCATTGCCCCAGTCAGGAATCAAACCCTAAGATGACTGTTTTCTGGGTTGGCTGATAATGGAGGCAGCAAGTACCTCTGAAATACTGGTAAACTTCTAGCAGACTACACAGTTACAAACCAGAAGACAGACAGACACAAGAGTTCGCCACCTATCCCTACCTGTACACTTCCAAACTCATTTCCCTGATCCATTTTAATATTATCCTGCCACCTACACCTAGATCTTCAAAGTGGTCTCCTCACTTCAAGCTTTACAAAAGAACTTTCATTCATGCCCCTTGATTTGAACATCCTGATATTTAGGATTTGTGGTTTTCACAGTGGTGAGTCTGAAGATGGCTGTCTTCTGGGTTGTAGCTCAATGTAGTCTGGTAGAAGTTTATCAAAATGTCAGAGGTCATTGCTGCCTCCATCATCAGGGTGACTCATCATCACTGCAAACCCTTCTAACATATCCAGGAAGTTCTTTCCCATCACAGTTTGTTCAGCAAAAAAGAAGGGGCCAATAACTCTGAATTGCAGTGCTCCAAATACTGGAGAATTTCATTCTCCAGTTAGATGGAGCTCCTCCAGATTTTGCCACATTCGTGCGGGATTACCTAAACCAAACATTTCCTCAGTGATGGGTCGAACAAGGGTGGATAGCCTGGCTTCCACGCTCTCCAGATCTTACCCCTATGGATTTTATTTGTGGGGTTATGTGAAGCAACAAGTGTTCTCTGTCCAAATAATAAATTTGGACCATTTGAAAGAACGGATCACTTAAGCTGTTTCATCTATCACACCGGATGTTCTCGGTCGTGGATGGCAAGAGCTTGAATATCGTCTTGATGTCTTTAGGGCAACTAAAGGAGCGCATATCAAAATCTACTGAACAGGTAAGATTCTTGGAGAGTTTCTCTTTATTTTGACGTTTATTTCATGTCTCTATCGTGCTTTGTTCCAAAACTATGACTGTTTGTTACCCCACCATTATTTTACTGACACACTGTTCAGAATGGCAGTAAGACCTATTTTGATATCAATCTGTAAGGGCAGATGGAAATATTAATACCACAGAATAATAAACAGAATGTTGGCCTTGTAAAATTCAATTACACTACACAATAAATAACCACTGTATATTAGCAGTAGGGATGAAAGACTTTTAAAAGTCTTCTGTAGGAAACCAGACTATGGCGATACCTTATAATTACTTGGAATTTCCTTTCTATAATTATAAATCCCACCAACCTGACAAATTTGGATTCACAGTGAAAATTCCATAGGCAGCTAACATGGACAAAGAGGGAAATTTTATGACAATGCACTTCAGCCTTAATTATTGTATAACACGTACACAAACTACACACTATGATTTAGATTAAAATACATAATATTCTTTTAATATGTACTTAAACTTCTATAAAAATGCAATTATTTTCAAATGTAATGTTGTAAAGCAAACACTGTAATATACAACAGGAAAGACAGAGGAAAGATCTATCCTTTAAGTTCTGAATTTAATTTTGAAAAAAACTCATCTCCTACTAACAATGCTTTTCTTTTGGGTTTTAATGCCATGTAGACCCACAGGTACATACCATTTCAGGGCCTATAGCTGAAACCATGAAGATGGACATAGGAAGTTTCTGCAAAAGTCCACATGGCATTACAACCGATATCATCATCATCCTCACAATTGTGATAACCTCAAATCTCACTCACTTCTTGCTGCTTAACACAAAGTCAACTATGTATGCAGTGAGTACTTGACTGTGTCAAAGATGGCAACAGATTAACGTTACAGATATTACCAAACACAGAAGACACACAGTTCAAAGCACAAAATATTAAAAAAAACACAAAGCTTCGACTCTTGAGGCAATCTGACGAACTGATACCACCTGACCATGTTTAAATTATTTTATTGCAAGCCACCTTGGTTCTTATCATACATTATGTACTGAAGGTAAGATTTAGCTGAAGCTGCCACTGTGCAAGCTCAATTATATGAA